TCAACATAATTGCTTCATCAAAGGCCAACTGGAACTTCTGAAATGTTTCCTTTACCAAACTGTTTATTTTAACGATTATGCTTAAAATCCTGCTGATTTATCTGCCTCTCAAAGGAAAAGAAATTGCCTCTTTAAAAGTTATGTACAGTATATCGTACTTGTGATAAAAGTCTTACAGCTGTTCTAGAACATAAAATTAGGGTTAAACAAACAATAGTTACCTTTACAGTGTAAGTCCATTACCTCGCTATTTTCGTTCTTTTATTAATGATTAACCTCAACTTTGAATGTGATTTGCATCTGCCATGTGAAAGCGTTTTCGGTTTGCATGAGCCAAAAAAACAAATTGCACAAATTTTACGTCAGTGATTCTGAATTCAAGGTTTTGTCTAGACTTTACAGCCTCATTGGGACTTAGATTTTAGTCCTTGAACTGGTTGATGCCGTTTAACACTAAACGAATTAGATCTTCGTTCTACCGTACTTTATGGCAGTAAAACACGGTCGGTAAGAGTAAAGGATATTCGTAGGTTACTAGTATTCGTTCATAGGTGTCTTCGAAGCATTGCTCATATATCCTAAAACCACTGAGTAAGTAATGCACTTGTTAGGAAACGGGTACTAGGTAAGGATGGCAAATCAATTGATGAAGTAGTGAAACTTCATCAGTTGAGATGGCTGGAACATGTGTTACGTATGCCCAACCACCGACTGCTTCGACGTGCGATGTTTCATGGTGTAGGAGTAGGTTGGAAGAAAGCTAGGGGTGGCCAGACCAAAACATGGCACAAATCCATGAAGTCACTCACAGACAAGTGGGCTGAACCATGTTGGTAGGTGTAGACTACCTGGTTGGGGACCGCGAGATGATAGCGACAGATGGCTAGAGACCTTGAAAGTGACATAGCTGGAAATCGTTTGCAATAGTGCAAGTGCATCCATTCTTTGTGTTCTCCGAAATTCTAATCTTCTGAATTGTTCATGTCCCTTTCTTTTTGTCTCTTTCCAAATTTATTTCACTGGATTATACTCGTTGAATAACATCTTCAAACCCCAATGTTTCCGATTACTGCTTATACTTTGACTACCTCTACCAGTATGGGATTTGAATGGACAATTGTATCTGTGTGGTAATTTGGTATGGCAACGCGAACTGATAACTACAGGGGCATCACTCTTCTCTCAATACCGGGAAAAGTCTTCAACAGGGTATTGTTAAACAGGATGAAGGACTGCGTAGACGCCCAACTTCGTGACCAACAGGCAGGATTCCGTAAGGATAGATCGTATACAGACCAAATTGCAACTCCACGGATCATTGTGGAACAATCAATTGAATGGAATTCATCACTCTACATCAACTTCATTGACTACGAAAAGGCATTTGATAGCGTGAACAGAACAACACTATGGAAACTTCTTCGACACTACGGCGTGCCTCAGAAGATAGTCAATATCATACAAAACTCATATGATGGATTACACTGCAAAATTGTGCATGGAGGAGAGTTGACAAAGTCGTTCGAAGTGAAGACCGGTGTTAGGCAAGGTTGCTTACTCTCAACCTTTCTCTTTCTCCTGGTGATCGACTGGATCATGAAGACGTCAACGTCTGAAGGGAAGCGCGGGATACAATGGACATCTAAGATGCAGTTGGATGATCTAGACTTCGCAGACGATCTGGCCCTTCTATCCCAAACGCAACAACAGATGCAGGAGAAGACGAACAGTGTGGCAGCAGCCTCAGCGGCAATAGGTCTCAATATACACAAAGGGAAAAGCAGGATTCTTCGATACAACACAGAATGCACCAATCCAATCACAACTGACGGAGAAGATTTGGAAGATGTAAAAACCTTTACGTATTTGGGCAGCATCATTGATGAACAGGGTGGATCTGATGCAGATGTGAAGGCGCGGATCGGCAAAACAAGAGCAGCATATTTACAACTGAAGAACATCTGGAGCTCAAAGCAACTGTCAACCAACACCAAGGTCAGGATTTTCAATACCAATGTCAAGACAGTTCTACTGTATGGGGCAGAAACCTGGAGAACTACGAAAGCCATCATCCAGAAGATACAGGTGTTTATTAACAGTTGTCTACGCAAAATACTTCAGATCCATTGGCCGGACACTATTAGCAACAACGTACTGTGGGAGAGAACAAACCAGATCCCAGCGGAGGAAGAAATCAGGAAGAAGCGCTGGAAGTGGATAGGACACACATTGAGGAAAGCACCCAACTGCGTCACAAGACAAGCCCTCACATGGAATCCTGAAGGTCGAAGGAAAAGAGGAAGACCAAAGAACACATTACGCCGAGAAATGGAGATAGACATGAGAAAAATGAACAAGAATTGGATGGAACTAGAAAAGAAGGCCCAGGACAGAGTGCTTCTTGAGTTTCAATTTCATCTTGGCGACCAGCAAGTGATGATCTGATGCTATATCAGCTCCTCTCTTGGTTCTCATGTTCTCTATAGTCCTCCTGAACGTTTTGTTGATGCAAATATGGTCGATTTGGTTTTGTGTAGAGTGATCCGGTGAAGTCCATGTGGTTTTGTGTATGCGTTTATGTGGGAATATAGTCCCGCCTATGACCAGCTTATTGAAGGCACATAGATTTGCAAATCTCTCACCATTTTCGTTTCTTTCTCCCAGTCCGTGTCGTCCCATGATGTCTTCATATCCAGTGTTCTCCGTTCCAACCTTGGCGTTGAAATCTCCCATCAGAATGGTCAGGTCCTTTGTTGGGCACTTTTCGACGATTGACTGGAGTCTATCGTAGAATTGATCTTTAGTGTCTTCATTGTAGTCGTTGGTAGGCGCATAGCATTGGATGATGTTCATTGAAACGCCCTCTTTCTTTGTTTTAAACGAGGCTTTGATGATCCTTGGTCCATGAGACTCCCATCCTATAAGTGCATTTTGCGCTTGTTTGGACAGCATCAATGCAACTCCTTGTGTATGTGGTGCATTTTCTTCTTCATGGCCGGAGTATAACAGGAGCTCTCCTGTAGTTAGTCGTTGTTGTCCAACTTGTGTCCAATGTGTTTCACTGATCCCAAGTACCTCTAGGTTGTATCTTCTCATTTCTGCAGCAATTTAGAAGGCTCTTCCGGTGTCCCACATTGTACGAACATTCCATGTACCTAAATAAATGGTCGCTCTGGTTGTCAGAAGGGGCATCGGCCTCGTAACTTCCGAAGGAATTCGGCTTTCATCATGAGGTGTCATAATTCTTCTAAATGAAGACCTTCTGACTCCCAGGGCAGAGTTTAAAAGGTTTGAATATTTTTTTCTGGTTAGCGTTTTTTTAGCGAGTTAGTTTTCTACGGGATGGGGACGCTAACCCCATGCCCAACCCTCCTCCTTTATCCGGGCTTGGGACCGGCAGTAGCCCCCGGAGGGACTCCAGGCGGATTTACTGAACTAACTACTTCTATGAATTCGGTGTTCATCTTGTTGTGCTAAAGAGGTATGGCATCTTGTACTGATGCACATATGTGCCTGATCCTACTTTGTAGCTGACTATTTAACTAACACCGGTCTTACAGCGCTATGTTTCATTTATGCCGGACTAAACGCATCCCCAGCGTGTTTATATTGTCACTAAACATTCAGGAGACCAAGCATTGTAAGCGTCTCCACTAAATATAACTACGATAAGTGAATCTACTAATAGGAAGTCGAATAAAAAAGGCGTTGTCTCTATGACTGAGTGAAATAAAAATGCAAAAAAGCAAGCATCATTTGATATTGCCCATCCTATTGACAGTTTGCCATAGCTGCTGACTTAACGGAGCGATGGAATCTAGAAACATGTTACGATACAAGAGAGTTTTTCGAATGAGAGTTTAGGTACCATAGACCCCTGACTGCAGTAAAACTCATTACCCTCTTTGTAGTTGTATAATTCGTTGGGAAGAATCATATATATATATATATATATATATATATATATATATATATATATATATATATATATATATATATATATATATATATATAATGGCTAGTCATATCCGCCGTGATTGACCCCCTAAGGAAACCACCTGCTTCAGTTTAGGCACTCGGGCAGTATCACAGCCCTCACACAAATCAAAATAGGATTTTTGTGGTGCATATGTATCTGGTGCCCCCTTGTCCATTTACAGGAATAAGTAGACTACCGGGTAAGTAACTGATAACGAGCAAGTGGCAGCCCGAATTAGACGAGTCATTTGTACACAGGAATACAATCTGGCGTAAAAAGTCAAATAATAAACTTCCTGCTGACTACTATCATAAAGTAGAAATGCAGTTATTATTTTACTAGAATAAGTTTTCAGGGATATTTATTACTGGATTTTTTTTCTTCGTATTGACTGTAGTTTTAAACTGCAGGATATTTCTCATCTTAACTGAGAATAGTTCATTTTAATTATACTGACAAATTTGTTTTAATTTTCTCAAAGGTTTTTATTCGAACAAGAAAAAATGTGATAATTGAAGTGAATCCTAAAACAAGAATACCACGTACATTTGATCGATTTTGTGGGCTTATGGTGCAACTTTTACACAAACTTTCAATACATGCTGAAGGTGGCAATCGTGAGAAACTATTAAAGGTATGTACAGTATTCTTGTTAATTTTATTTAGTTTTTTTTATAGATCGTCAAAAACCCTGTAACACGACACTTTCCAATCGGTGCTCCAGTTATTACAATGTCGTTTTCATCAAAGGAACAAATTAAACCAATTCAACTAGCTGAAGAGACACAGAAACCTAACCCTCAATCAGTTGTTATTGTTATTGGTGCATTAGCCCATGGTTCAGTTGTTGATACTTGTAAAGAGTTTACACAACGTACAGTCAGTATTAGTAACTTTCCTTTATCGGCCGCTCAGACATGCGCTCGAATATGTACTGCATTCGAAGAAGTATGGTGTGTTGAAGATATTTTAAGTGGAGTAGAAACGCAAATAGAAACCTGATACGTTAAAATGACACCGGTGATATGTATGATAATATTTATTTGTAAATAAAAGACTTGCACCTGTTATTGTATTGCAAAATGAAGTACATGTAATTAATTGGGAAATTTAACTGTTTGTTATCATTTTTTAATAGTCACCAGAAACACCCTCAAATATGAAAAATAAGCTATGATAAAAGAATAATGTAAACCGAACACACCGTTCACAGGTTAATAAGTACGCTTCATCACAAAGAAAAAGTCATGTAAACTCTGATCACATAATTAAATGACTGAAGGTCAACAAAATAATAATTATTAGGAGATGTACTTCATTTATTCGTTGACAGGCATATAACCAAAATTAAATAATGCCACTATTTGAATTTGTTTGATTTCATCAGCTGGGGGTAAAACACGTTCTAATGTTGTAGAAGCAGTGGCAGTTGTTGCTGACAATATTGATGTTTCAGTGGTTGTAGCTGTTTCTGGAATCTTTCCTTGTGTTTTGGTAGTGTCAGTTGCCACTGTTTTATTACTCGCTGCACTTAACAGAGTAGTGGATGTGTTTTTGTAGTCGAAATTCATGTAAATTGCAGCTTGTAAAGGGATCAGTTGTTCAGATTTGTGAAATTGATCAACTATTTGATCTTCGCTAACCGGAACCAAACTTGAATTTTGCAATGTCGGTAACTTATTGCTTTTTGGTATTAAAGTAACATTAATACCTAGTTTGTTACCACGACGGAAGGCCACTATCCTAGATAGGAATTAACAAAAGAAGAGGAAACAAAAGTTATTGAGGTTACAGGGGTATTAAAGTCACGGTATGGTTTTAGTGACGCAATGAGGTCTTATACTCCGATTGTTCGACCACAGTTTGGTGTTAATTATCAAAAGTTCCACCACTGTTGTAGGATTACCTGCAATAGTCTGATCGATTCGAAAAGGTGTAATTATAATATAAGCATTAAATATAGAGACTGCCATTTTTAGTGATTTAGTCACTTAACATTTTTATGAAATGATATAAATTCAGAAAGCTCGGTTGGTCTTTGCCAATGTGAGTCACTTGTAGCGTAGGCAAGGTATTCGTTTGCCAACCGATGAACAAGTTTACTGTACAACAGTTCGCTCCTTTGTATTTATTTATTATTTTAACACATAGATATTGGTACAAGCCGGCACCAAATACATATGCGCCACACAAATTTTATTCGATATGTGTGAGGGATGTAGGACTTCCCTGTCAGAGGCTATATACGCGTGGCCATGTGAAAGCATTTCGAGAGGAAGAGCGGACTCTCCCCACTCTCGGCCGTACCAGGGCATTCGGGGCCCCCGCTCCTTTGATGGGTGTGAAACGTGGCTGATAGATATGCAGACTATGTGTATAGGGTCCATGTACGATCACGTAATAAGTGATATAAATCAGAATCGGTTACAATAATGCAGACAGATTCACTCTTAACTTTTGGTAGCATCTGAGTCCCATTGATACTACTGTTATCTCAATTCTTTTTCTGTGCTGATGTTGTAGTATGTGTAGTTGAGGCGATGTACATTTATTTTGGATTCTACGTTAATCATAACTAGTACAAAATAACTTTATTTCGTGGCGAGACTATAATTTATGGACGAACCAAGCAGATATAAGATAACGAGTTATGAATTTTGGCGCGAAATTCGTTCATTCATTTGGCTAAATAGAGTTTTGGCATTATAGCTGATATCAGTTCGTGATGAAAACCCTAAATCTAATTTTTGACTTTAACCATCAACCGTAAACCATAATTCTAACTGGTTTATAACTCTCACATTCAGTACTAATCAGTAGGTGTCTATTCTCAAGGTCACTCCAGCGTCGCTCAAAGGTCGTCCATAAATTATAGTCTCGCCTATTTTGTTACGGAATTACATTGATCATGCTAAGACTGATGATACTGTCTGTCTCTTTCACTATGTAGATAAGAAATGTGGAAATCTTGACTGATATACGCTCATATTAGATCTTAAGCCTTCTATCCCTTTCAATTATTAGATAGTCAATGGTACATGTAGAATTACAAAATAGCCATGAGTTAATTTCAATCACTGTTACGTTAGAATTGAAATTACACAGTTGAGAGTTTTAACTACTGTATACATGTGAGTATACATTAGTTCAATAGAAACCAGATGATCTTTTACGCATTATGTATCAGAAAATTGATTTAATATAAAAAAGGATTATATGTCACGTGGTTGGTCGGTAGGAAACTCTGCTTGATCTAGATTTTGTGCTAGTTGATACTCATTACTGGTACTCTCTGTAGGATCACTCGATTACTTTCAACTAATTAAATATAGTCCATACAACTAGTTAAACATAATATTGGTCACTATTTATGCATCAATAGTTCAACAGTATTATCTTAAACTTACTTAGGATCATCTTTGTAATCGCCAGAACTTTGACCTGGAGTTACATCACAATCCATAATGTCATTACGGGGTGCAAGTTTTAACTCTTCGGTTGGTAAAATGAGCTAGTCAATACCAAAAGAACGGGGAAAAGTAACTATGCAATAAAACTGTGCTTATTTAACAATAAATGATTAATGTTGAGGATGTTTCAAATCAATCTAAAATCCAGTTACTTATTTGCTATTCTGTTTAGGTTTTTATTTCTATAAAATTTGAAGTTCTTGTTTTTTTTTCTTAGTCGAAACTCTCTCATCCTTTGTTGACTCGTCGCTCTTTGAATAAGCTTATTATCCACCACACATTGAAGAAAGATGTAAATACGTCTATACATTAAAGCATTCTGCTTTGATCTAATTAATTGAAAAAGCTAGGACTATGATAAAGAAAAGCGGAGTGCAGTATCGATTGTCTAATCGAATAGAAACTAGAAATTACTCAAAATACAGACATTTCGTATCGATTTTATAAAAATGTCAGCTGAACGACATAGTAACCAATCCTGAAAGGTAACCAGTTACCATCAACATCGAGCGTAGTACAAATAGGAGTTAGCCTAAGTTGCTGTACCACAGTGGCACGACGACAGTAGGCTTCGCTATTAAGGCGGTAGTCGGCCTTGCATATAGTGTTGGTCTAACCGAACTATATTGGTTGGAACATTCATTCTCTTACGTTCTACCATCCTGTTGTGACTTTATGTCCGGCTTTTTATCACGTGATTTATTCACCAATCAAAATACAACTTATACAACCTTAGCACTGTGCCAAACCAATGACGTTCGACTGGTACGGGCAGCCTAGCGTCCTTATTGGTCCTATGTCCGCCTAGCCCGTCCACTTGAGTTCAAGAACACCAATACCAGCTTCCAATATGCGGATGCGAATCGAATTGAATCGAATCATTTATTTCAGACATACTGGGTTTATATATCAAACAAACAGACCGCAACGGACCATAAAATAGGAAATAGCATTTGTATACAATAAGGCCAACAAGTGGCTGTGAACGTGGGAGACAGTAGTCAATGAACTGAACATACCTTAAGAACAGTAAATCGTACAATAATAAATTATATGTCAAAATAAAGCTTATAATAAGAGGAATATAAATATACATAATCTAATTATTGAATAGTTATACCATAAGAATGTATAGATAATATTAGTCAATTAATATGTCTCAGAAGTTACTCGTGATTTAATCTTCGCTCGGATATAACACATCCTTGATAGACCAATACAACTATAACCAACAAACCTGAGGGTTTAAGGGAGAAAACGTACGGCCAACTGTAATGGAGCATACAGATAGACAGTAAAATGTTGCTCTTACATTCAGAATTGCTGCTTCCTACAATGGAAGCAGGGCTAGAAAATCCCAATCACAAACAGTAGCAAATATCAATTTGTTCTACAGATTTCTATTGATGGTGGTAAAGTCCGAAAAGTACAGAGCCAACGACAAATGAAGAAATACTCACCAAAAAGTTGTGTATGATTGGGCTTCAGTCAGTTATCCCTTTATCTCTGTATGATGTAGGCAATTGAAAAGTGATAACCACCATCATATAACTAATAGTAATCAATATGAACAATAAAAAAGATAGAAATATCTAAATCCGGCCAGCGAATTCTTTTAGTATAATATAAAGTACCGCATAGAGACAAATATACAGGATAAGTTATATACATCAATAGTTGCTATATGATAACTTACATTTACAGTTGAAAAACATGTTAATTGATCATCAGACAATAATGATGCTGTGTCACTACTGATAGTAGTAGGATCCTTTTTTGATTCATTGGCATTATCAATAGATTGAATTTCGACTGTAGATGAAAATGAATCTAGTTCATGCTTATTGCTGTTAATTAAATGTCCAAGATGTTCTATTTCTTCTTGTGAAGTCAATTGACGTAATGAAACAGTTGTAATCCGATGCATAGGATTACTTATGGTTAAAACAATATTTATTTTCTGAGAAAGGATAAAACGAAAACGTATTGATCATAATAATACTAAATTTCAAAGATGGTTTGATGATAACATAAGTGAAAAAAATTGGGCGTCTCATCATGGCGATCTGTACACTGTCTTGTAACCAGCCAAATGTGTATTAGCAGACTATCACTTTATGTAAAACGCATTAGTTGAAAGTACTTACATCCTTGTGTGAACTTTAGTGGCTGATAGTATGCTAAGCTCACATAAGCTATTCTAATTTCTGGATAGATCAATTTGTTCATTCTTCTCAAGCCACATTTTGATCTTGTCAATTATTCGCCTATTAACCCTGATTATTTTTATATGATCGTGTGTGTGTTAACTGCTCACCCCAATCATTAGGTGTCTGTAATTTATTTTTGTCTGAATGTAAATATTGAGTCATGTTCGATCGAAACAAGTTGGCCCACTCGCCGTCTCGGCTGAGCGTCACTTTGTTTCTCTGATTTCCTGTCTGGATTAACGAGTGTATAAAATATACGTATCGAAATTCATTCTCGTGTTTGGTTTATTTTATTCCGTTAATCTCTAACGTGAATAAAGTCGATAATTATATATGAGGGTAGTTGGGATGTATATTTCGATAACAATCACTTGTGTGATCTAACTGGAGTCAGACAGAGGGTCACCAAAGAACCATATGGAGTAGTATCATGTAGACAGATTCAATTGAGGAGTCGTACGTGAGATCAAACAGGTGTATCGGATTTCACTGTTAGCCACTATTCAAAACTACACTAAAGCTTGCAACTATAAACAAAATATCAAGGTTTTTGTTCAGGAAACCCAAATATCAACAAAGACTGATCATAATTTAGTTTGTGAATACTGGCCAATAACCTCACCATAAAGTTAGTGAATGGGACTATCCTGGAAGAGGCTATAAACACATGGCAGTAAGAGAGCATGTTACAAAAGAGAACTATCCCCACCGTTATCTGTATAGAAGAGTTTGGGACGACTATATAACATTGCGGTAATAAGCAGATCTGACCACCTACACTGATATTCTTCAAAACAACCATGAAATAGTTATATTACTCTTATAACGCGATAGTATTGGAAAGGCTGGAACATTCAGAACTATTTCTTCGAGTTACTGTTGTTACTATTCCCTAATTATTGGTAATTAGTTATGAACTATTTGATTAGTTAAACTGTAACTTATAACTTGATTGTGTTTAAAGTATGGATTCCTTATTTGATGTAATGTGTGCTCAAGCATTTTAAATATATTAGTGCATACATTTTGAGTGATGACTAAATAGGGTACAATGGAGAACTAATGCGCTTCCTATCTGGGTCTTCTGACTAGACACTTATCTATATTTATTTATTTGAACACATAAATATTGGTAAAAGGGGGCACCAGATGCATATGCGCCACACAAATCTCATTAGAGTTGTGTGAGGGATGTAATATTCCCCAGTTGCCCAAACCGAAGCAGGTGGTTTTCTTAGGGGGCCACACCTGGAGCCTTCGACCTGAAGGTCTGACCCACAAGGCAATAGAGCAACGTAAGGAGATGTATTTCCATGGTAGCCGGTGACCAACAATAGGTTCATACGCCACTTGTTCACTCAGGATACTGGAGCCCATGTGCACCACTGGTTTGGAGTCAGAGTTTTCTAACTCACTTAGGTCGACTCTACGTGTCCACCAACCTGGTTATAGCTCCGAATATTCGCTTGTCGTCCTCTCAATTCTGTAAACAACACCCCCAATGAGAGAAGGCAGTAAGTACTCACGATCAATAAGAGTTAACGTCTTGGCTGTTGTTCAGTGGTTGGTGTGTCGATCACCAGTCTTGTTGACAATATAAGTGAACTAATCGATAATCAGAATTTCAATTGGTAGGTGACTTTAGCACATGATATCAACTAACATCTCAAGTTATAACAATTAGAAACACTTACTTGACCAGGTGTAGCATTAGAATGAATGACAGGTTCATATTTCATAGAAACTAATGTCGATGAAGTACGACGTTCCAATGTTAAGTTAGTTTTACTCATAGTCTGTTTTAAATCAAATGTTGATCCTTTATTAATTGTTGGTGGAATAATAAATCGTAATTCTGGAACATGATATAATGCATTTAAATTAATTCGAAATTTAATAGAACTTGGACTAAAATCCGCTTTGCATAGATTATGTTCACAGACACGACAACGCATTGATCGTTTAACAACTAAACTTTTTGGTCGTGGTTCTAAATTCGATGTATATCTTGGTTGAATTTGAGGAGCTAAATGACGTTGATGAATATTGGTAACTTGAGATAAAAGAAATAAGTAATGAAAATTATGGATTAATTTCAAATCAATTTTTAAAAATACTGAAAACAGAGTACATTTTAATGACAAAATAAAATAATGTGCCAGATTTTATGCTACTTACAACTGACTCTCAAGAACCAATCAAGTTCTGGTTACTTTTTACTCACACTTACCTACATGGCAGTTTGGTCTTATTTACTTAATGGGAATATTCTCAAATGTTAGATTAATTATAGGTTTATATACTGACTAATTGAATCATACCTAGCAAAGGTCGATCATACTCTGTTTAGCTATGACCAAACTGAAGTTCGGAAGATTAGGGTTCGAACCGAGAACTATATGGATTTAATCACCGTTTTTCATGGAAATAAGATAGAGAGGAAAAACTATTCTGGATTAAATAACTGTCCAACCGTAGTGTAAAATCAATCGTAATGAACGAGGAGACTGGCACAAATGTATGTTACCTAAAGTTGCTATATCACATCAGCAGGAATAGGTAAATAAAAAGCAATTGAAAACATGTTATTACCAATGATAATAAGACACAACAAATACTAAGAATATAAGCACAGATATATGGTGACTAGTAGTGGAATCTAGGACACGCGTTTCGTGCTGCTGCATCCCAGAGTTGATGTTCGCTTCAGAACTCGAACCCCAATTGCAGTTCCAAACGTCAATAGAAAGACTCAAACAACCAATACAAGATGAATTAAGAATGCAGTTATTATCAAAATGCATGTATTATAGAATACTGGAACTAAACATTTAAGGGAAGATAAAGAGTCAACCTATCTATCTCGCTGTGACCTAACGTCTTAAACCATTGATCTTAGTTTTTACCTGAACGATTCTAATCAGATAGTCTATATCTCTATCAAACAGCCAGTGAATTCACGAAATAATGATAGATTTTGGTTTAGTCGCTTCTAGCTTCCTTCTCGTACACTAGCTAATGTATTATGAAGGTATATTTACGAATGAATGATACTCATAATTCAAGAATAATTGACAATTAACAGAATTAAATATACCGACTAAATCATAGTGATATGTAGGAAAGGATAGACATACTGGTGTTGAGTGTATAAGAGGGAGGCAGTAACAGACTTACTTTTATCAATGTTAATTGGTTGATTGATGTATTCATCAACGTTGAATGGTGGGATTTCAGATGCTTCAGCAGCGGGAATAGTCACCTTCTTACTGGGAGTAGTTTCTCTGCTATTATTATGAACACAGTGGAAAAAATTGGTTTTTAACAAATCATTCGTAACAGTATTGCTTTAATCCATGACAAACAGAAACATGTATACATTAGTATATTCAGCTTATTTACCAGGTGTACAGATTTGTGTACTTGACTTTGAGCTGTACTCTGTGAGGGCAGGTGATAGCATTTAACCGGTTGCCCAAACCGTAGTAGGTGGAGAAGGGATTTCGAATCTGTGACTTAACGACAGAAAGCCGAATACTTTAACCACTGAGCTACAGCTTTTCATAGTTTTGCGGTTAGAAATAAACTCTGCAAAGAGTCAATTTTACGCAGCATTTTTCATGAAAACTAGATCCCGTTCAGGTTCATTTAAGACCTAAACAGCACACTTCTTCAATCGGTGGCGCAACCAAATAGACACTAAGAACCTAGTGGATTTATAAATAAAAATAATATATTTGTAATAAGTAGAAAATCCAATTTTCTGCTTATTACAAATATATTGTTTTTATTTATAACAATCAACCCAATGCTCAATTTATTCGAAATTATCAAACCTTGGTAATGACACCTAGTGGATTTATATATATATATATATATATATATATATGCACAAAATAGCAGTTTTTTTCGAACTAAAAAGCGGAAGAAGCCCAAATACTCACAGATACTGGATCAAATATTACTCCTAGTCTCTAAATCGCGAACTGACCACCATCGGAAACTGTGAACAGGACAGCTGTTTAGACCTAGCATGGGACCCCTCAAAGGTGAGCATCTACGACCTCATCATGGAAATTCTATAATAAATGGAATAAGCTGTACTGACAGCAATTATTTGCTCACTATTAACTAGCTTCAAGATCCAATTCCTGGAGTTCTAGTGAGAAACCTTGACCACTGGAGTTCAATGGTGTCGGCTAAGAGGCAGTTACCCATCGAAGACCATGGAACATAGTTGAACAACATCGCGAATCGGTTAAGATTAAATATATACACCATTAGATTCCGTTTAAGCATTTGTGAGCAAAACCGAAGGTCTTAGGATCGATTCCCTATGGTGGGGGTAGTGAATATGCACTACTAAGAAGTCCTATAATAAGATGAAACAGACGTTTAATGCTATCCGGTTTTTATTGATAATCTAGTCTGAGATTAGGTTATGATTTAAAAACTATAAAGATTCTATAATCCCCACAAAATTCTTTACTGATAAATATTACCAAAAGAAAGAAACATAACTTACTTGGGTGTTGTCCAAGAAGATGAACAATAGCGTCTTAGGCGTGGATTTAAAACAGGGTAACGTTCCTAAAAAATATGTAGATTATTCTGTTATTTAAATATACGTAGTAAGGAAATAAAAAATTTAGTTCCATGTAAGTGGACGGCTGTAAATCAGTGTCAAACAACTGACTTTAGCTACGAACGCAACTAATTTTTACAACACGAACATAATTTATTGTATGTCCTCCATATTGAATTAGACAGAAGCTATGACTCTAGATTGTAAAAGGACATTTCCCATTCACAAAATACATTATCTGTTCGATAATTATGGGGGACTAAAACTCAGGAAGTGTTCCCAATAAATCTATGAAATACTGAGTGTTATTTGCAGGAGATAATGAGTGTTGTAACAAATGACCCCTATTAAGTTCATAAAGAGTTTTAGTGAAAACTGTGCTAATTGCAGTGATGATGGACAGGACAGGACGGCAATAAACTTATTATACTAAAATAACTTATCGAACGTATATAGTCTCCTGTGATACTTGATCAGTGATTCTTTACTTGGATTATGTTTAATGAACTGAATGGAAAGAAAATCGACCGTGTACCGAATTTCATAAAAGCATTCTTAGGGACGTTGAAATGTTAAACGATGAAATAACTAAGAAAAAACTTTAGCTTCTGAAGACTTCTAGAGATGTTTTGGACAATGGCAACGAAGAGGTGACAAGTATCTTGCCTCAAATGAGAAATACTTTGAAGGGTGGAAATAAGATTGATCTACAATAAATTTTGCAAGAATGAACCCAATTTTGATAAACGGAGCTCGCATATTTATTGAACAGACTACGGAATCATGTTGTTCCATCTCCTAAACCCAACAACAATCAGGAAATTATATGACAAGATAATAACTGAATACTTACCGCCCGATCGTAGCTATTGCCCTGACGTGGTGATCGAGCTTGCCTATAGTGATTACTCAACCGAGTTGTATTGGCTAGAACACATGTTCCTTTAGGTCCTACCATGTCATGCAGGTCGATTGGAGAACGGTAAAACTAAAGGAAGCAACTAAGGTCCGAGAGCGAAGTCATACTGCCAACTGTAGAGGAGTGTGATAGAAGTGAGGTGTTTCCTTTGGACAACCAGCATCTGCAGGGATGCTGCCTTCTCACAACGAAAGGAAGGGGTTAGAAAAGGTCGACTCTAAAAATTTCATATTTGTCTCCAACGGTAAGGTCTTTTGAAGTGCGGAGCTTACAACATTAAAATTTTCCCGAAAGAAGACCGTGCACAACCTGCCTCAAGCATTTTTCTCTTGAGATGTGATCATCCTCCCAGGTCGCTAAGACCATCACTAATTCAGCTCTCTTCTAAGGTCTCTCAAGAAGAAATATCTTTCCATAATGTGGGCTAACGGGAGGTGACACCTGCCCTCACCTCATATACCTCCTCTATCAGCATTTGAGACCACCTTGTTGTGACTAACTGACTTACCATTAAAATCATATAATTTCGTTTACGTGCAAATTTATTCCATTCTTGATCTTCTTTCTCTTGTACTGCTAAATGATGATAATTATCGATTAGTTCTGAGATCTACAAGAGGGGAAAATGAAGAAAAGCATCTAAAATAATTCGAAAATTAAAAGAATGTCTATATACACAAAAGTTATAAACAAATATTTCAATAAGTTGGTTACCTATTCTATACATACAAATACAGTTGTACATTACAACACAGTGGATAAGACAAACGTTACATAACATGCTCAACAATAAGTAACTTACTTCAATATCAGTTAGGTAATCATAATCGATATCAGTCAGTCATAAGCAACATAGAATGTGACACATATGTGTATCGATTCAAGTTGTCACACTATATCAGCATATTGAAATGAAATCATCAAGATAAAAGATAGAACAACAGAAGTTGTATAAATAACAGTTATAGTAGAAGACATTAGACACAGATCATATTAATCAGAATGAATATATGTGTCAATACAGTCAAATCTGAACCGTATCACACAATGTTTTTAACAATTGTTCACAACAATTGCAAGGAGTCCAATTAGGTGGTCTGCACACAACAGCATGGCTCATTTCAACAGTCAATGAATTCATGAACTGCTGTCACATTTTAATCAGGATCACCTATGACTTTCTTGCAACTTACGCGTACACCAACAAATATTGACTGTCTAGATAAACGATAGTTAAGCATATGCAACATATGTCTCAGGCAATATATCGATCCAGACTATCGTACTTCATATTAACACAGTGATAAAGGAAGCATAATACGATGTTAAGAAATAGGAGAGAAAATAATTATCAAATACAGTGAAAATCTAGGCATGGCAATTATGGTTCAAAAGGAACAAATGAGATCGAAAAATGAGAAGAACTAAGAGCAAAAATTAACTTCAGATCTATAGAAAAATAGAAAATGAAAGTAACGGCACCACCACAAACAGCTTCGAAAGATGTATTTTAACGCGAGCCTCAATTAAAGAGTCTTCATTTTCCGGCATCCAGGATCACATCGGCAGTTAGGCACTTCAGGGATTGATGTTATATTTTGATCTCCAGGACCATCTAGGCAGGCGATGCACACCAAAATGGAAAGTTGAGAAAAGGATTAGAGTTCAGACTAAGACTATCAAACCAATGACTGATGATTTAAGGCAGACTATCCACACAATAATCGGCATCAGTGGTTGGATACCACCACTTTATGTCATATGACATAGAACTGTTCAGTAATGTAGACAAATTCATTATTTACAATCCTTTCAATTTTAATTTCGTCTATTTTCTATATCTCTCTTTTAATCCTCAAATTTTCATCACTATCATTGATATTAATTAACATTCACGTTCATCTATCATTCGTATTTTTATTTTGAACAGAGATAGATGATAGACAGTGGTATAATCCAGGACGCGCGTTTTGCTCTGTTTTGAACTCATTAGTTGAATGTACCTGCATCCCAGAGTTGATGTTCACTCCCGGACTCAAACCGAGCACCGTTCGCCTCAAACGCCATCCACACAGAACGCACATTTACCAAAAGTGATGAATCAATTACAGTACTAAACATCAATGAGAAAGTATAAACAACCAATACACATGAATTAATGTTGTTAATTTCATCTCATCAGATTGATATGGATATGAAGAAATGACTTGATGATGATGTACATCTGTGCTATAATATAAATTGATTATAGCTAAGATATTAAATACACACAAACTATACCCTCCCTCGTTATTATCACCTTACTAAGTGGACATAATATTCAACTGTTGTGAACCTTAGAAACTTGAAAAATAAATCTATATCTTTCAATCAACTTTCAAGGTTCTTGAACAATCACATTTTTTTCTAGGGAATACACAAGCATAAACATGTAGGTTATTGATTTTCTACAGTAATGAAAACAGTGAACAATAAAATAGAACCAAGTATAAAAAATATTAGTGATATATGAAAAGAGAATTAAGCAGATTAAACTTGGACTATGCCTAGCACTGAGATCCATGATCTACATTTTACATTGAGATAGAGTGAGAACAATTGACCTCTGACCTGTTCTAGCATATATATATATATGCATTTTATCCTACTTGGGACTCATCAGTTGAATATGCCTATATACCAGTATTGATATTTACAAATCGAGAGACTCGAACTCAGAACCTTTTGATTCAAACACCAATGGATTATTTATCAAGTTATTAAATTTAAATAGCCACTAATTTGTTCAACACGGTGTGGGACGTAAAATGTATCTTGAGCTGCGCCGTTAGCTGTTATCCAATTTTTACTCAACATGCTTATATACCAATAAAGACTAACAAAATGCAGTCCTTAATATCAAGAACAAGAAAACTCAAATCTCCACAAAAAGATAAACTAAGACAACTCAATAACTTTGTAGATGATTCGTTGATATTCGAACTGATTTTCACTATGTAAAAAACAACAAAATCGGGATGCAAGTACACTGGCTGGTGAATCCCGTATAAGACGAAATATATGTTCTGGATTTCACTGTTAAATATAACTCGATTTTCTTAATTGAAACAGCCATTACTGCAACATAATATCAGAACATGAGTTATGTCTAATGGATGAAGTAACAATACTCACAGGGATATTTAAATAGATATATCAGTCAGTTTTATAATCAACCTAGAGTCTGAGATAAATTTTAGTGTTAACCCAAATTGCTATTATCCAATTAACACGATGAGATGAAATCTGGAAAAAACGAATGGTAAGCAAGTCGAGATGACTATAGTACCAGTGAGAGTAAGAAGGATTAAACATTGAAAGTATAATTCAAGAAAATTGAATGAAGTCAGGATCTTACAAGGAGACAAGTAGTAAATGCATCTGTGACACTGTGATCTGACGTCTTCAACTAATTACTGTAGTTATTGCATAGGCCCTAATCAGTTACTCGACATCCATCAATAAGACTTAGATCAACAGTCAATGACGTCATACACTGATACTATTTCTTGGTTTATTCTTCTCAAGTGTTCGTCCAACTCACCTTCACACCAAACAATATTGTACGTAGAATTGTAGACAGTGGTTAGAAAATATACAGCGTCATTGCCAAAGAATCAATTAATAGAGTTCAATACCTAGAACGATAGACCTACTGGAAAGTCTATTTTCTCTAAGCCACTCTTACTTACTTACTTACGCCTGTTACACCCAATGGAGCATAGGCCGCCGACCAGCATTCTCCAACCCACTCTGTCCTGGGCCTTCTTTTCTAGTTCTATCTAATTTTTGTCCATTTTTCTCATGTCTGTCTCCATTTCCCGGCGTAATGTGTTCTTTAGTCTTTCTCTTTTCCTTTGGCCTTGAGGATTCCAAGTTACGGCTTGCCTTGTGACATAGTTGGGTGCTTTCCTCAATGTGTGTCCTGTTCACTTCCAACACTTCTTCCTGACTTCCTTCGCTGGAATCTGGTTTGTTCTCTCCCACAGTTGGTTGTTGCTGATAGTGTCTCTCCAACAGATCCGAATTATTTTCGTAGACAACTGTTAATAAATACCCGCATCTTCTTGATGATGGCTTTCGTAGTTCTTCAAGTTTCCGCCCCATATAGAAGAACCGTCTTGACATTTATGTTGAAAATTCTGACTCTGGTGTTGATTGACAGAGTTGTTTTGAGTCCCAGATGTTCTTCAATTGTAGATATGCTGCTCTTACTTTGCCGATACGCATTTTTACATCTGCATCAGATCCAACATGTTCATCAATGATTTCGCCCTGATATGCAAAGGCTTTACATTCTGAGAAGTGTGATTTGATTGGTGCATGCTGTGTTGTATTGGAGAATCTTGCTTTTCCCGTTGTGTATATTGAGACCTACCGCTGCTGAGGCTGCTGTTACACTGGTCGTCTTCTCCCTCTAATTCACTCAATCAAGTATAATTGACGTAGGATTTAGCAGGCATACAACAGTTCACATTTTAAGAGTAGTTGAAATCATAGTAGTATAAATAATTGTAAAGTAAAAATTGAACATACAGACATATGAATCGAAGAGAAGGAATGAATTTGTTGAATAAAATAAATATGAAATAATATTGAAACATTCAAGAATTTAAATAGGAAAGATAAAATCAAAAACAAAAGGTCACCATATTTCTTCTGGGAAAGAAACGTTGAGTTTTAATGATTTAATCAGTCCATACTTAACCAATGAATCACCAATTCAAATTCCGATAGTGTTATCATTTAATAAGACAACTGACATATTCAATGGTCTCGTGAACTATACACAAATTATTAGACCATAGGCTACTGGAGGAGGACAGTAGATATGTTGAGTAGATTATGAATTTTCATTGAATGATATGGTCAGAGGTTGTGTTACACATGCTAAACATTCATATCCAATGATGGTTGAGGTAGAAGCTAAAAAAAATATAGCGGTGAACAATTCGTTTATGTTATCAGCTCATGAAATCATTGTCTGTTGTTATGAATCCAGTTGGTAGGTGTAAAATATTTGGTTAGAGTCCGCCTGATAACCACAATCAGTGATGTTGGGTGAAATGCCTCAGAATCAGTCAAAGTGGTGCAGATCCATTCGCTATTTGTCTTTCCTTAGATCTTGAGTTTCAAATCCATCGTATACTTTTTATTCGTAAGTTTATTTTTCCCCTCAAATCTTATTCCGTGTCTAATCTTTTATACTATTGTAGTGACCGGTAGTATGCCAAGCCCGCATAAGCTATTCTAACTTCTGGATAGATCAATTTGTTCATTCTTCTCAAGCCACATTTTGATCTTGTCAATTATTCACTTATTAACCCTGACTGTTTTTATATGATTGTATGTGTTAATTGCTCACCCTATTCATTAGGTGTCTGTAATTTATTTATTCCTCGAGCTTCTTTTAACCTAGTGGCTAAACAGAAGACAAATACAGAAAATAGATCAGTTCCCCGTCATACTTAACTGAATTGTGGCTCAAAACTCATGCAATAATATGCTTGAACTATCTGACCACATAGCAACACAGTTAAAAATTCATAAAGTGTACACAGTCCAGCGGTAAGTGATACAAGACCAGAGTAATAGAGTAGTTAATTAACGGCAAGTATGGGATAATGAGACCTATGGCAACGATTTATAAACCAAATGAAGGCTTAGTAGTAGGAGAATCTAAAAACAGAACAGTCCAAACATCTTCTAACTAAACAATAAGAACATAAATAATGATCCTTTATATGATAGTCTCTAAAGTCATGATTACGCGCTATTGGCTCCATTATGCTAAATTCAATGAACAGACAAAAATTATTCCGAAATAACACACATTTAAAAGCAATAAAAGATATAATTTAGAACAAACCCTTTTAAAATGTGGACTTATTTTCTCTTGCCAACCTCCAGCAGCTTGTTGTTGATCTGGTATACCACTATCTCGTGTAATCCATCGGCAAAACCCACATGCTAGAAAATATGCTTTTTGTGCTGTTGTTCGACCTGGTTCATCGGGCTTCGCATGTACAACAGCAGTTGCTCGTGTAGACAGTGTGTGACCACAACTTGGACAATCGAAACAATTACCACAACGATGTTTACGCATTTTGGCCTCAGCGCTTGCCATATTTTCAAGACAATTAGGACAATAATAAGAATCCACCTGAGCATATAAATGGATGAAAGATTTGGTGAATATATGCATAACAGGAAAGATACAGCTCATAGTTTACATCATAGACTGACCATTGTTAGACAATGGAGTCCGATCATATCAGAATGTGAGAAATTCACTCCACCAATGATATTGGAAATGACTGCGCAATTTCGTAAATTGACCGAAGTCAGAAATATAAAAGAATGGATTCCAACTCAGTGGTTTGAAGGTTGAGTGCTCGCCAAGATTTGAAGGTTCTGGCTACAGTTGTTGGGAGGATTGTGAATGCTCACTCCTATGGATTCCCATACTACGAAAAACAGCTGTTTAGTGGTTCCTAATTTTTATTAGTTGTCTAGATAAGGTTAGTCTGCGATGTAAACCATAAAATACAACAATCTCCACAAACTTCATGTAGTAAAAGGCACTTCTTAGCGCTTAGCTACCACTTACTTCATTTAACGCGAAAATAACTTTACGTCTCTGAGCGTGGTAACACTGGATGTGAGGGTTAGAACGTCAGAGGAAGTAATCATTCACTGAAGAGCTCATATGCAGTGGAGTCTTGGTTTAACGTGTAAGTTTCTTAACTTTCAACGAATATGTGGTCGTTTCAAAACCCATTCTACCTACTTTATGTTTGGAAACCAGTTGGTATCACTAGTACTCATACAATGTAGTATGAACTACAGCTAGGTGCAGGAAATACCTACTTATTACATAAATTACACTACTGCTTAATATTAATTGTACTATCAGCTCTACAAGACACTGGAGTGATGAAACACAAAGTCGACAGTTATTCTCTACCTGTTGTAGAGGAGAAAATACAGCGGAAACGAGTAGGAAATAATGAAACAATATTGTTCGACCCTGAAAAACATACACAGACCATCATGAAAGATCCCTTTGATCACCAATGGTTTGCTCGAAAAATTAGTATGCTTAATATTAAAGCCATCAGTAGTTTACTATGGTGATAAGATGCGTTGTTTAACGTTGGCTATTAAAACTGCTAGTTTACGCATTGAAAGCCACTGAGAGCTGAAACGGGGTCATAAATAGTGGTGTTAAGTTTTTGAATTTGCCCCAAAACTACTCTAGACTATCAGGCATTAACGATTATTTCTTTTTCGGTCATGGGGACTGCACTGTGTATTCCTTTTAACTGCTGTTGGTATCTGAAAACTTTGTTCGTCACAAATTGAACTGGGATGGAGTACCATTGAAAGGAACGTTTCGTAGGTGCTTCGCTGTGCTATAGGACTACTTAGTAGTGAACACCTATAACCCCACTGAAGACCGAACTCAGGACCTTCAGATCTCGTGGAGAACGCCTGACCATTAGAACCACTGGGTCACCAACTGACAGTACACTGTGATATGGCGTGACAATCATTTAGTTTCATTGGTGACAATTGTGACCAATACAATCCTAAAATTAAACGAATTTTCACAGAACAACATCAAATATATTATTTGTATTATTATTATTATTAAGCTAATGGCTTTTCGTTGGTGAAAGATGTATATTTGGTCAAACTCACTAGTATACCGGAATCTAGTTTGTAACAACACATCTTTAATAAGTTTTATTTGTAGTTAACTTGGTACACACAACGTACAAAAACAGTACAAAATATATATTAACTAATATGAACAGTCAAATAAAAAATTCACCTCATGTGAAACACAGTTAGGGCATCGAAGACATAAACAATGACGGCAAAAATACAGTGTACACAATGGATTTGTTTGTTTGCAGGAACACAATAAAGTGCATTTGTCTAACTCCAAGTAGGTCGCCATTTTGCTCAGTTGAAAATACGTATCAACGTTTATAACAAGTTAACGAGCTAAGCCCAAGTAGTAAGGATACTACTAAAAAAAATAATAATTTGGTTTATTGAGAACCGTATATATGATTGTAACCACGTAAAATACTGTAATACTCGTAAACTGTAAGACAGACATATCAATATAGAGCCTGGGCCAGGTGTGTGTTACCATGTTGCCATACCCGACTACCATGACGAGAGGGAAACGATAAAAGAAGTCTAAAAAATGTAGTAGTAATGATAAAAAGACAAACCACACATTACGAATATAATTTGAAAATACAGATTCGAAAGGGTTACTAAAATCCTTGATTGAGAGGAATATAAGGAGTGAATGCATCCGGATCACTATCAACGCTCCAGAGACACGTTATTGAAAACCTCCAACTATTGATCGTGGTTATCGCAAAGACCACAAACACATAGTCTGCACATACCGACAAATACATACATCCCAATTGTCTATGACTTCATGGACTAATCTCAGTTTCTGGTTTTGCCGCTATCAGCTTCCTTTCAACAAACTCCCAATTCAGCAAGCATCACGCTTTAAGGTAGGCAATAGTTGATCACATGTAATACATGATGACAATTCACTATTTTGTCAAAAAATTTATTATCTTTATCTAGTACCATGCATTTTATTTATTTATTTGAACACATAAATATTGGTACAGAGGCATCAAATACATATGCGCCACACAATCCACTTGATTTCTGTGTGTGCTATGATACTGCCTGGGTGCCTAGACTGAAGCAGGTGGTTTTCATAAGGGGCCACATCCGGAGCCTTCTACCTAAAGGTCTGATCCACAAGGCAGTGGAGCAACGTCAGGAGATGCAGTCCTATGGTAGACGGTGACCACCAATAGGTTCATACACCATTTGTTCTCTCGGGATACTGGAAGCTATGTGCACCGTTGGTTTAGAAACAGGGTTTCCCAATTTCATTAGGTGGACTCTCCGTGTCCACCAACCCGTTTAAAGCGTTGAACATTTGCTTTTCATCCTTTCAATTTCACGAACAACACTCGTGGTGCGAGAAGACGGTGAGTAGGACTTTCCTAGCAGTGGTTGTATACGCGTGGCTATGTGAGAGCATCTCGAGAGGGAGAGTTAACTCTCCGATTTCGGCTGTACTAGGGCATTTGGAGGCACCATGCATCTAACCTCAGTATAGCCCGCTTGATAAACTCAACTTATGTGGGCAATGCTGTGAAGACACCCATAACGGAAAATAATGATTTAAGAACATCATTCACTCTTAATAGACGTGTATTTGACCTAAAGTCTGAACATCAAGTCATTTTATTTGTACGAAAGTCGAGATGCTTATCTCTGAGATCTTCTCAACCTTACCCGAGGCCAACGTGCAAACTCGCTTTAAACATTACAACACTGTCACCCTTCGGTTAGAAAAAGTATATTCATCTTTAGCAGGATTAGAGTTTCATTGAAATTTCAGAGATATATAACAAAATGATTTGTATGTCTGGAACATAAAGAGTGAGGAAAATGACTACAGTAATTTAGGTTGCTTTATTTTATGTAGGAAGGAAAGAAAATCATACTAACTCATCCTTGATAATAAATATTTACAGAAAAGCCAGATCTGCTTCAACCTCCGGTGACCTTGAGATATCAAAACGTCTTATGCTGTACTACAAACAACTATCAATAACAAGAGTAGATTAAAATGTACCGTAATTTCTGTTTGGTGGTTGACTGATGCCGCATATACCGTGATATCAAACTTCGACGACCCATGTGGGAGGGAATAGTTGTTGGCTTGCACAATGCCACTACGCTCTAACATGGAAGCGCTTATTCACGGTGTATGATTTGACTAAAGACAGTGAAATTTCTCAGCCAGGAATGCAAGGTAAAGTATAAAATAATTTCACAAAACCTCCGTGATTATTATCAATGAAAAATCTTGAATAACATATGCTAAACTTTTGTCAAACCATCAACGGCTTGTGGTGACCCTTTTGTCACGAGAACACGACTGGTTTATTGAAAACAATTATTATTATAACCAATTGTACCAGTGACTGTTTTAATGTGATTTTGTTTAACTGCGCTAAAAAGCATCCATTATTCTTACACTTTGATTGCGACGTCGCGCGAATTCGGTTATGATCTGTAACCAAGCTTGTATCCTGGCACGATCTCGGTATTCTTTCGATACCGCGAGATCGCCAGCAAATATATCTCGACTTGGTCCATTAATTGCCTTCTGATATTTTGCTTCCGGGGGATTTTATGGATATCCTGACATGAGTTCCTTTGTAGCGGTGTTCATAGTCAATTTCGACTCGGCACGACGCTGTGGGGAAATAAAAATTGATCCAGTTGTCAGACGAATTCTATAAATTTTATTATTGTAGTGTTTTAACATTCATCATGTTTTCATTTCTGTTCAATTTATTCTCTAGATAAACACAGGAATTATGAATGTAATTAATACAAAAGTACATTAACGGGTCGTATCACCGGACTTTATACCATAAATAGTCAATCAGCAAGATGTACGCAACCGAATCAAAACTAAATCAAGCAGATGCCTGCTAAGGAATGCGAAAGTATAATAAATGAGTCCCTGAATAGCAAGGGTTGAAGTTCTATAACAAGCATTCAGAATGTTAGTTCACTCAAAAACAGATCAATTTTTAATACTTTTACAGTAAAACCAAACTATGAAGCCTCAAACAATGTAACTGGATACTTGTCAACAGCAGAAATCCCACTTGATTAAGGAGTTGTGGCCCATTGTAGATCTAACTATAAAGTATGAAGGTAAAAACTCGAACCTGAATACTCAGGATAAACCAGTGAAACAAATTCGACACAGTTCTGTAGATGCACATAAGTGCAGTGATGAATTAAGAGAACCGAAATCGCAAAAATGGATCAATATTAGTTTCATTTAGAGCCACGAGTAAGGGAAATACACATCAACGTACATTTAAGAGTGAAACAGAATGTTATTGAGATGCAAGACGGATAAATAAGTTTCACAAATAACTAGACATGCGAAACCATAAAAAATGGTTCCCACGGCATTCTAAGATTTTTCTTCTTAAAAGCACGTATGTGTGTAAAAGTTTCCTCATATGACAAACGTACCTTGTTTTTGCTGATATATAGTGTTTTTCCTCACCTCTCCGCATTCATGCACATCATATCAATTTCTTGGCCTATTCAAAGCCATCAACAAAATGTCGCCTGCAATTCCTAACCCTCATAAAATCTTTGATATTGTTTGACTTTTTACAGACTGTATTCCTTTTTGCTTAACATTTTATCATTGTGTTTACCATATTGGCTAGCCGTATCCTTGACTTTTGCTTTTCAGTTGATTGACTCTACTCGTCATAAATGCTTATTGTTATTAACAAGCAATAAATAGTGCTACTCAAACCGTTTTATGTTGTATGACACACACAATCACTTCTACCAGTTTTCTTTTCATAACACAGCATATTTCTGCCGACGGAAACATATGCAAAACACGTTACGCCATAGAACTGGATTACCACTACAGGATTCACAAAACATCTAATTATAAGTCAATCTGAAGTGCTTACATATCACTCCTGACCACAGCAATCAATATGTTGGTTATCGAACGAAGGAAAATGCAGAAAAATGGGCACGGTGCTTACGAGGAGTGAAAACAGATTTCTTTGAAATGATAGATAGCAAATGCCAAAGCATTCAAACCTGGTCATTATTTGCATTAAATCTAATGAATGTTAGTTCATTTCCCAATTATTTCGTCATAAACCATGAGTTATACAATAAATGTTTGTGGAGAGAGACCTGATAAGCTTATTTTGCTCAGTAGGTAATATCAGCTATACAACAGTGTTATGTGATAGCCAGGAAGTATAGCATTTTTGAATAGATTTAAACTTGAGACAGCTTTTAAGACTTCTGAAGGCTTGACGGATTACTGGTAGCATTCCTTAGTTTCGTAACCAGTTTATAACTAGTTTGCAGTTATTTAAGGCTGACAACTAAGTGACGCTTGCAAGTTGTAAACGCAAATAGCTTCTAAACTTGTAAAAATTTAGCCCTACATTATCGTTTTACAGAATAAAATGCAGAACATCATAAGAAGCTGAAATAGTTGTAAAAAAACCCCGGATTTTCGCAAGGACTGCATCCTCTAGTCGCTGTAACAGGATATGAACATGACATTTCAAGTCGATAGTTAACATATATAAGAAATACTCCAGGAAGAACTGAGTGTTTAAATGATGAGTCTCATGAGACTTATGTTTTTTCGTTACAACAACCTGCAAAATTGAGACACAAAAGGTCTTTATCCTATCAAAATATCTCCCACCCATCCGGGAAGCTAGTTCAGATGTTTATTGTAAGCTAGTATCCTGTACATTTCAGAGATCGCTATAGCTCCAGCTCCCAAGTATTGAAAGCAGGTCATCCTCCTTTCAGATGAGGAGTTAGATGAACTCGGACTTGTTCTAGACCAACGACGTTACCCTTAACAAATTTGGAGATTATTGTAAAGGTGATATGAAACTAAGTGAGAAAGAGTCGTAGATTTTTTCGACTGACCCAATCTTGTCCTTTCAGCAGAAAGACTAACAAAAAATCTCCAAAGTAGAATATACGAGTCATCTTAAGATTTTTTCCATCTTTATATTTTTCATGATGTTACAGAATTTCTTGATCCTCTGTCGGGGATACTAGGCATAATGCAACACGTGACTAAACTTATCCGCACAGAAGGCTACCAAAAACGGTAAAACCAAGAAGAGCTGAAAGAAACCATAAGGATTACACCAGTGTGAATTTAAAATAAGCCAAAGATATGCTAATAATCCCAGGAAGTCTAGAACTTTGACAAGACGCAAGAAAGACCTCAAATTTAAAGCACGCAGTATCAACAATATATGAATAGAACTTACTTGTGTCAGCAATTAATTTTCGTATTATGTGTGAAGTACCGCTGAAGGCTATAGTAGGCGACAAGTCCATTCTTCTGTCCAAATCAACTGGTTTTGAACAACAACCGGTTATTGGGTGAAGAAACTGACTTAGTAAGCGGAAGACTCAAATGCCTGGGGTACGGCCTGTGATATTTATCCGACCGATATGCTTACCCAAAACAACACACTATTTGTAGGTGTTAGCTGACTACTTTTCAGATTATAACAGTCCTTTGTGGAGGCGACAAGTTGAATATCCCAAGGTTTTTCCTGGTGATCCTCCAGTGCCATGTTTTCTGCCTCCGTTTTGGATGAAAATGATGTATCCTGGTCCAAAGAATCCTCCTAACCATGTTATTTTCAAAGTCCACCCACAGTAATTACCTAGTAATTTCTTATCTTAGAATGACTAAGCGCGACGTACAGCAGTATCTAGAAAAGATTTACAATGTTCCTGTTGTAGATGTTCGAGTAAAGATGGTTCATCACGATTGTAAATTCTAATTATTTAGTAACTATTCGTGCAGTAGAACCAGTTGATGTGCCGCCACTCCGTAAAGCTCAGAGATCACTCGATTCCACACAATTTCCCCCTAAACCTGAACGCTATGAAAAAGTTGCATATGTTCGTTTGGTAAGACTTAATTCTGTACATGATTATACTTCTCAACATAAATGTTTGGTTATTAACAAAACTATTAGAATGTTCGGAAGACTGACAATTTTGGTCTTGCTTGTGTAGTTTTTTCTTGGTACCATTTCGTCGGTTGATTTTAATGGGAGACATAGCGTCCATGATGCATTTTCAGTGCTTGATCTTTCACGTAACTACTTTGCTCTTTAATGTTCAGTTTTCTTCACAAAAATGTCATACCAATTATTTCAAAAGTGATATATGATTTTCTGGAGTGAATCGTAGTTAAATTGGATTCACGAACTCACTAGTGAAATCGAAGTTCAGTTTGCTAAAAAATCTTGCTAGAATTCTATGAATATACAACTGTCAAAGTCGTTAGTTCTATGGATTAAAGTATAAAGGTTGAAATCACTTTCCGAAACATACTTTTTCATCATCATTAGTGAAGCAATAACTCGATTTTGTGTAAGTGTATGTAGTAGCACAAAACATGCTTTTCTTGATTTTAGGTTTGCACTGATCGGTACTCAGAAACCTCACAAAACTAGTTGTAGTAAGGTACTACGAACGGAAATCTAAGTAGTACTCTGGAAGCTAAGTAATATTTGCTTTCCAGTATTCAGTGTAATTTAAACTGCTTAGTTGTGACTTTAGTTCGGTCGATCTGTGATTGATTTACTAATGGTTTTTGTTTCTATAAGTTTTCTCCTTTATTAATAAACGGACATTAACCAAGCATATATTTCTACCTTGTTTTCTGTAATATATATGTTCGAACTATTTTGATATGTTTTTAGTTAGTCAAACCGCGTTTTATTACGGTGCATTGAGTTATGTAGAAAAATAAGTTAGATGCTTGGTTTACACCAGTTTTTGTTGCATTGCGACCGTATAGCTGCTAAATCGTTTCAAAGGCTGAAATGTAAAAGAACAACTGTAGTCGAATATAGAAGCGACACGCTTATGACTAATTTACTAAATAATTCTTCGTTTTACTATGGGATGTCATATGACTTGCATATAATCTACTTATTCTGTTGACCACAGTTGTCCGTAATTATGGCATGCATTTCGCTCTATCAAGGTACAATTTACACTCGCGAAACTAACAGGAACCCTTGCCTTGCCAATAAATCTTCACAGTGTTCAAATCATGTGTCGGAAACATAACCATAGGTTAAAAAACCAAATTGAAAGTTACTAAGTATGAGTGTAATTGATCTCAGTCATTTCGGTCTATTTTCCGTGATAAGGCTACTGGCACTTTTTAAACGGATACCGAAAATCAATTGCTTTAATTAAAAACTAGCGTTCTTGATAGCGAGTGGGTTCTGATTGTTGACTTGGTTCGCTTGTTATGTTCTTTTGTAAATCAGCTTGTTCTCATCTACATAGTTCTGTCGATAAGGATGTTATTATTTTTACATATTTAAGGAATGTGCTTATTTTTGAAGAGAAAAACGTCTCAGTATAACGTACGTTAAGACTATTTTCTTTTACAGCATTGCAAGGATTCTCTGCTTGGTTACTGTTAGTAATTGCGTTAGCAATCAATTATCAATTAGAAACTGTGAATTGCTTTAGTGATACCTTGCTTATGTAACTCAACTGTCAGCTATTATTTAGGTCAATAATTTCACTTAACTCCGTAATTCCTCTCTTATTATCTTGTTTAGGCCCCTGGCGAAGTTTTTGTTTTTCCTGATCTGTTCAAAGACAAACGTCCATCAGAAGCTACTGATACTCTAATGGATGGCGTTGCTGACAAATCTGAAGAAGTCGTTTCTGATGTCTCCAAAAAGGTAGAGAATAACAAACTTCAACCTCTGAAAGGGTGTAGCAAATGGTTTGCACCTTAATGTCTGTATATATTGTATAATAGAATAATTTAGTTCACATATTGTTTTTCCTGTTACTTATTGAAGTGGGATGTCAGCTATGTTTCTCTCGACCAAACAGTTGGCAACTAGATTTTCACGCATTTCAATAAACACTATTTCCAATAGTCGAACAGTTATCCCTTTCTTGCCAAGAAATATTTACAAATGATGCTTTCTGTTCGATCACTATTTCTTTAGAAATACTATTTGTATTCGTTCCCACCATTTACTTTTTATTGGTATGTTGAAAAGTGTGATAGGTTCGCAGTCATAGTTACGTGGTTAGAAGATCCGGTTTCTTACTAGTAATGGGTCACTGGTTCGAATCTCACTCCACCTACTTCAGTTAGGACAGACGTGGGTGTCACCAGTTCTCACACTTACAGTATAGCGCGAAGCTAAGTACATGAATTAGTACGAAGTGAGTTAAATAAATGCATGGCGTGACCTGAGGTCGGCTAATATAATTTATGTACATCTAAAGTATGAGCTTAGATTAGTGCATATGTGTGCGAGCTCCGAAGTTCTTTTTTATTTATTGACTGTAGATGAAAATCATGGGAGTATTGCAACGCTTTCCGTTGGAAATCAGAGATTGGTGATGTCGCGATATTAGTCTGTATGTAAAATATCGTGTTTAAAGCACTTCTGTTCAAATAAATAAGTACTCTACAAATTCCATTTTGGCGACTTCCACACCGCCCTTCATTCACTGATTATATGACTGGTTGGAGAAAGTGAAATAGTAGGTTTAAGACATGTTCAACGGGTATGAGAGAAAGCTGTGTAGGACTAACATCTGTTGGTCCATCACAAGTCCCTGGTTGGAGTCCGAGCGGTAGTTCAACTCAGTGGCTTGAAACGTAACCGGACACGACTCAGAGAGGAAGCCAATGTAGATCCTACTGTGATTTTCTTCCAATTTCTTCACAAAAGTAAGAAACTCCTCTACCGAACAGGATTCTTTCCGCTGTTCATTTTTTGAAACAACTGTTTCTCTCATTGTACCTTAACTTCACCTAGTTTTTTTATTCATCTATTTCTTCTTTTACTATACTCACTCTTATTTTTATATCTCTTCACAATGTATGATGCACATTTATTTCAATGCCTGTTTGTACCGACATTCGATGTTGGGTGTCTTTGAACCATTGCTTGCATGTTTCGTACAATCAAGTTCTGAGGTTTAAGCCGGAGCTCTAAGTGTGACAAATCGATAGACGAGGTAATGAATCTTTATCGACTGAAGTGGTTCGGATATGTATAATGTATGCCCATCCACCGCCTGCTTCGACGCACGATGATGTAGGAATAGGTTGGATTGAGGCTAGGGTCGTCCGAACCAGAACGTGGTACCAATCACCAATGAAAATGAGTATTGGACTAAGCCCTGTAAGTAGGTACAGACTATCTGGTTGGAGTCAACATAGTGTGACGGCTCAAATTCGTTCACAGTAGTGCAGATACGTCCACTCCTTGTCTTACTTTAAATCTTAAGTTTCTAAATTCTTCATAAGTTTCTTAGTATAGTGATGAAGAACTTGCCGAATTGTACTCCCTATGTAAGTTGCTTCATAGGAACAGTTGAAATGATAATTACAATACAAATACAATTCCTAAATGATCCCACCGAAGAAACACGGTGCAATTCTTTCATTAGCATCGCATAATAGAACACCATCCATCTTGGTTGAGCAAAGGACAGGTACGAGTGATTCAGAGTTGTATTCTCGTTCACTTGGTGAACACAGGACAATAAATTATTCAACACAATCATAAGAACCCCAAGTTCAAATCAATAGGAAAGGAAATCACATTAAATAGTTAGTGTTTGTTAGTCTACGCTCAGTGGTCAACCACATCGGTATTTACTGCCGCACATTAAGATAGTATTCAGAAAAGACCTTAAATATATACAAATCACTGTGGTCGCTCTTACATTTCTAGGTCTTGGAAGTATGGTTGTAAACATCGAGTATCCCACAGACAGCTAAGAAACTCAGTTGGATACATTCACATTTTAAAATTATTTTAACAAACAAAGACGTAAATATATTCACTGTTAGTCTATCCTGAGTCTTAATATTATCCCATTCCTTTTGTTTTATGAATTCGCCAACCATATTCTTTATTTCTACTTCTTTCGGCTTCAACTCTCTCTTATATAACCATGGAATCCATATCATTGTGTTGATGCGGTGGCCGATGCATATTTTTGATATTAGGACATAAGTTGCTGAACTATTCTTACTGGTCGAACTGACATAATGAGTAGTTCAATAAAAGAACTAGTAATTTCTTTGCACTAACTAGCTTAAGATTTCCTATTTCGGTTTACATGCTACCCACTAACTACACCCTTAGGTATTGTCACTTCATTACAATCGATAAAATGCAGTTCGATCCTTATAGGAAGTCCTTCGGCATTTATATTCTACGTTGGAAAAGTAGTGTCACCGAAACCCCGACCGTAGCTGCTACTACATAGTGGTCGGATGTGAATATTAAGATGACCCAAAAGAGTTATATCAGCTAGAATATTTGTTCATTTAGATATTACCATACTATAGAGACTAGTTGAGGAACAGAAACGGTCGACCCAGTAAATAACATACATTACCTCATCTTACGGATTTCCGTCCCTGGCCGCTAAGCTTCGAAAGTACAGCGCTAGCACATCAAGAGCTACTCACAAAAGGCTATATGTGACCGGCCTCCAAGAGCTGTCCCTTGTGTTTCACGGCCACGCTCCCAGATCGTCAAGATCACTACTAATCCAGCTTCTTTTCCAGCCACCTCAAAAAGAAGTGTCCTTCCATAGTATATGCAACCGCCCGCATACTCCCAACAAAATTCAAGGTCATACATATAATCTATACTTATGTGAGTAACTGATCATGAAAATCAACTACCAAGCACAACAATATCAAATAGGAATAGTGGATTCAAGTCAATAGAAGAATTACAAATGGCTTTTGTTTTTCACTGACAAAAAACAACAAATAAACCATCTCTCTAAACAGAAAAAGAACATTTACAATGCTTCATAACAACAGTATGCGTACAACTTGTCAAGTATATTTATAAAGTGGAAGATCTGTACACACACACAATTAGGTCAGGGGAATTTAATTTAATGTTTCATCAAGCCTTCATTATTTCTTTATGTGCGCGCATCGACTTAGGAAAACGGTGATTGAATAGTGGTTTTAATAACTGATGATAATAATCAGGATTTGCATGTGCGCGTTTATGTGTACAACATTGGAATGGATACAATAAAATGTGAATTCATATTACCCACAATGTGGGAGAGAAGATCACAGAAATAGTTGAAATAGTAATAAACAAGAAGAAAAGAGAAATCAAAGAAAAAATCCAAACAAGTTAGATAACCTGTAATAACAGAATAGAGAACCAATACTGTGTAGTACAAGAAAGACAAATGTTTATATTGCCTTGAAAAATTAAATTCATTTTGTATGCAATATACAATTGATAGTATGTCTCTTATTAAGTAGTTAATGAACCATTTCATTAGTGTCTTTCATTATGTATGCCTGTATGTGTAACAGAGATAGAATAGGTTACAATACAATTCTCAATTGTATCTCTATAAATGATACATGTATATATAGAGAGATCTGATCATAGTTATGAATAACAATGAATTTAACTAGCAAAGTTCACATCATCTGGATAGAAAAGAAAGAAAAACAACAACAACCATTGGCATCAAAGTACAATACAATTTAGTCAAATGGTTATGTAATCAAATAATCAATCTTATCTTCGTTTTCTTTTTCCACTTTCATCCCTCTTTTCATTCTGTCTACAAGATATACATATGAAAAAAGGCACTATAATTTGTAAGTTTCTCTTGTGTTTTTTTTTAAAAATCATAAAAAGAAAGTTTTATTCTTGTCCAAAACCTTCTGTTTCATCAATTGCATAAGATAATTTCTCAGCTAATTGTTCATATGATCGATATGGTGGTAGATCTAATCGATTGAAACATGTATGACTTCGAGGTAACCATGAATCTTTACCAATATATTCAATACAAAATGGTTGTGGACCATTATTACCTAAAACAAATGAAATAGTAAATAAGCAGTAATGAATAATGACATATCGATAGGAGTCAATCATAAATTATATAAGAAAGGCAGGATCTAATACTGTATGGATCCGTTCAAATTGTCTTAGATCCTATAAAGAAACTCGATAGGTCAGTAGTGATGGTTAAGACCGGTCAGATAGGATTATGTCTAGTTTTCTGACTTTATAATTCTATGCACAAATTGTACTAAACCTGTTAAAATATGAGCACAAGTTGACAAAGATTGAATGTTGTGTTGTCTAAAGGAAAAGTCTGATTATACCTCCCAGTTACCTAAAAGTATAGATGATCGTTACTGATGAAACACTATGTTTTCATGTGCACGATATCAAACCTAGTCTTTTCAGCACTTCATTTTATGAATACTTGGAAAACAATAAAGAACGGAAATGAGGCAAAAATGTTTTGTCACAAACAAAAAGTAATTCTAAAAGGGATATGTACTATATAATTTGGATTTTGTAAAAATAGACAACTAATGATCTCAATTTGAGCATATAATGAATAGACTACGATACTATTCGAAATCTCCTAAAAATTAAACATAAACCCGGGATTATGATTACGTAACATTTTCATTAGATATGGGCTGGATTGATGTACTAAACAAAAACCGAATATATACGGAGAAGATCTATAAGATTGGAAATGTGTAGTATTCCATGTTTTGTGAAAATTTACCAAAACCGAAAATGGGTGATAGAGAACCTTATTATTTATTTAGGCACATAAACATTGGTACGAGACATCGAATATATATGCGCTACACAAATTATCTGATTTGTGTAAGGGCTGGGATACTTCCCGGGTGCCCAAACCGAGGTAAGTGGTTTTCTTAGCGGGCTACTCCCCGAGACTCTCACATAGAGGTCTAATCCACAAGGCAGTGGAGC